TTTTTAATGGCTTGTTTTGTAAAGGTCAAGTAGAAACTCTTTAACAGCTAATTCTTAAAACAATACAGAAAACAACATTTAGTGTGCAAGCAAATGTGCTTCAAGCAAGAAAAGCAACTGCAACTTTTGCTCGATGAGTTCTTTCTTATGATCTGTAATTGTAAGTTCTTTCTTAAGATCTCATTCTTGTGATGCATATCAGGCCAAAACCATTTGTGCTGCACTGGTATGTCATGTTACTTGAAATTGCACTTGGTGTGGACACTTCACAGATAACAGCTGTGTGTAGCTGAAAGGGACAACACAGTGACATGCCTACAGTGAACCCTCCCAGACTTCTGGGACAGAGTGGTATTTGGCACACTTTTAATGATGGTCTCTCCAGAAATACGTCATGATGATCCTCAAAGAACTGGGTAACAACTAAGCCATATCTTTCCCATTTATGGTTAAATACTAACCATGTATTTATGCTCTTGACTAAAAAGTTCAAGTGTGTTAAAATATAGAACTTGTGTGCACATGCAGCTCTGGTGACCACAAGATACTGACTCCATTTCTGAAGTCAAAAGAGACTTCTATTTGCTGCCATTTCCTGAAAAAGAGTGCACAGAGGGGGAAAAAAATAAAAAGGAAATACGACCCCTGTACAAAAACAGAAAAGAAAAAAATACAAAATCAAATCCCTTGCAAATAGTGCTACTCTAACAGCTTGACTATTTCCAGGAAGCAGAGGTTTTGGGCTCCAGACACACTGCTCTGCCAAGAGCCAGAAGCATCTGAGTCATCTAAAGGTTTCTTACAGGTGCTCCCCATAATTACACTGTGAATAACACTAGTGCTCTAGAGACACAGTTTTGCCCTCTTATGTTACAGTGAAATAAAAACAAAAGTGGACCATCATCAGTTTTTATCAGAGTGACAAATGCTAGTTAGAAAATGTCATGTCATACTTTCCTGCATAATTTAGTGCTGCAGATCACATATGAGGTGCAACGAGTGCTTTCTGGGGAACTGGTTCTGCAAATTCCCATAGTATGACTCGATTTGGCTAGTACTTCTGGTGTCTCACTTTCAACATTGAGCCAAAATATTTTGTGAAAAGTGAGTAAAAATATGTATTTTACTAAAATAAATGCATAGAACAGATGGCAATTGAACTTCAAACACAAATACAGCTTCTAGAGCTTAGGGTGCTTCTGCCAACTTCAGCACTATTTTTAGCATAAACTGAAAACAAGGTTCTTTTAACTAAACATTTTGGCAGTCACAGTATTGATTCAATTAATCTCAAAACAGAGAAATGTCAAAAACTGTATTAAGTCAGAATCTTTGACAAAGTTAAGACTTTTATAATGTTAGTGGAATATTAGTCTTACCAAAAAAATGAACCAAGTTTTTTATGCAAATTACCTTTGTTTTCAAGTTTTTTCCCAATTCTAAGATCTAGAACAGGTCGCTGAGTGTGACTACAGGTTTTTAGTTTTGCTTAAACTGCTTAAATAGTCAAATATTTCAAATTAAAAGGAAAAAAGGCAGCAGTGTCTAAGAGAAAGACATTTATACAGAGCTCTTCAATTTAAGAATAAAATAGATACCATAAATGTCTAATAACTTAAAAAATAAATCTGATGAAAGACCAGTGGATTGGATATAAATATAATTGCACATTTTTGGTCATAAGAACAACATGGACTTTCTTTATCCATAAATTAACAACATACTTAACTGTAAAAGTCAGTGTTAAATCAGGTAACACACCACAAACAAAAACTAAATATTTTCCCATACAATTAATTTTGTGTCTTTAACTTGCACATGTACTCACTTCTCCTAAAAAGCTTCAATTTTTTTCAGTCTATACAGACAAAAAGATGCTTTTGTCAGCATATTTACTGACCTGACAGACAACATCAGAAGGCTTCTTTCCAGGGAGATTCAAGAAAGTCCTCAAATTCATCAATCTGGTTGCAAAGAAATATGTGTGCACCTTCTGAGAGAGATGCACATGGGTGATCATAGTTTTAAGGAGCCTGGTTCTACTTGCACACATGCTCTTCAATTACTTTTTTATTGTTAATCTTTCACACCTCCCTGCTTTATCCTTATGGATAGGCAAGATTCTCTATGCTATTGGCCACAGCCCATAAAAGAAGTGTTTACAAATAGTTTAGTCAAACCTGCTAGTCACTATGTGAAAAGTCAGTGTGGCTTCACAAACATTTAGTGATGAAAGAGAGTGGAGTGGAAAGTATGCCCACAACACATCCTTGTGGAACTACTCACAAGCCGAAGGAGACGCTGTTTGAGAGTGGAGTCAAATATCATTAGGTCCTACAGGAAGTATATGAATTATGAAAGTTTTAGTCCACTTCTTTCAGCCTCCAAAAATACTTCTGGATGCCTCTGAAAGGATGACAGGTCACAACTCACGAGATTCTTGAAAACAGCTGATGTAGTATAACTACTATATCATGATAACATACCTTGACAGCATGTACCATTCTTCACCTTTCCTTTCAGTTAAAACAGAGATTACTTTATTTACATTTTAAAAATGGAGTGACTGCTACTACAAAAGCAAGAATAGTAAATACGGAGTTTAAATACACACAGTAGTTTTTATTCTTCCTAACTTTTTTCAGGGTACTTTCCAAATTCCTCCTCCCACCCCTCCTGTTTTTTCCTAAAATATATTATCCTTTTTTCACCTTATATGTTGATGTCTTTCTTCTTTCTCTGGAGGGGGTGGGAACTGACCATCACAGCCTTCTGAGTTTTCAATACTTTCCAAATTTTCCATTTTTCAAATGTCTAGGTGTGCAGAGAGGTATGAAAATGGGCACAAAAGTTGACCTCCCTCAGCTGCTGTCACTGCTTTGTTGCACTAGGAGCTAGCCAAGAATCTGACTGCTTATCTCCACGTGAGTCCTTTGTTCTACACCTACAAAAGTCACGCCTAATTTGTACAGTCCTAAAGTAAGAATGACACAACCAAATAAAGTTTAGCACACACTTCTTGAACTCTGGACATTACACCAACAACTCATACCACTGATTCACATTCCCTTAATTAATTTGCAAGTAAGTGCAGGCTCTTATTTCTTGTAAATTTTTTATACTCCTGTATGCAGCAAATGCACATTAATTTGGAGGGATGTATCCTTGCTTGCAGAAAGCAATAGTATAACTTTCATTTTATTGAAAAATACTGAAAACTAAGGTGTGAGTGTTCACACACCTCAGTATTTTTACACAGTTCTACGACCTGAACCAGAGAGACATCACGAGAATTTTTTACATGACAATATATCCTGCTTAATAATCAAATGTACGGTAATAAAAAGAATAAGACTGAATATAATTTTCACAGAAATCACAGCAAGTTATGCAGTAACAATTACAGACTATACAAATCAAATAATCCATTTTGCTAGAGATAATGAAATCTCATTTTTGTTAATAATTTGTTGAACTGGAAAAGAAATTCTGAATCAAATTACCAATGAAGAAAGTAAATAGACTAGAATTTTCTTGACCTTCAAATTACACAAAGCAGTAAATGCAAACTCTGCTTTTTGTAGGCAACTCCCACACTTATTACACAGTCAGAGCCTCGGGAAGTTATTAAATGTTCAAAAACACGCTCTCTCAAAGTAAGATAGGTCCGCAATGAAACAACCACCCCACCTAATTTTATGTTAGTAATTTTCTTAATAAAATAACATTTTACTTTCCCTCATTCAGTTCTGTTGGACAGTGAGGAGAAGATGAAAACTACATTTTATCTTCTGTAGCAGAGCTGAGCTGTAATATTAAAAAAATAGCAAATTACTGTAATACAATTTTTAAACAATCACATAGTTGGAGTTCACAGAATCTTGGCAATCTTGAATCTTTGGGAAGTTTCAAGTTGCAGTATCCATTTCAATTGAACTGTTATGGCTGCATAACTTGATTTAAACAGGCATAAAAAATGTATGAACTTGTTGTGCCTTGTTACAACATTATTTGCCTAATATGACTTACATATTTTCACTTTCTCAGGAGGCACACTGCAGCCCACACATCTGAACCTCCTTGTCCAGAAACAGACACTTCTTCAACCACTGTAAAAAGTGAAGCTCTGCATAGGCTTTTTTGACCTCGCACTGTGACCCTCATACCAGCATCCACAGGCTATAGGTCACGACCTCAAGAATTAGCATCATGGAAATAAGAGCCCTTCCAGGTTTAGTTACAGAACAGAACACTGTAGCAACAAACCCCTCAGTCTTCTCTAAGCTGAACTCTGCAGCTTTGTTTAAACTCCACTAGAAGACAATAGATAACCCACACTTCAGTTTTCATTACTCGCACACTAAATCATCTCCTCTCCAGCTAAAGGTCTGAGCTCCCGCTGCACTATGAAAACATTCATCCAGTGTGGATCGAAAGCCAATATCATATTGCCACGAGATGATCCTATTAAAAGGTTAAAGAAACATCACTATGGAATTGAAGACTTTTGCAACGTTAAGAAAAAAGGCTGAAATAAGTAACCTCTGCTAAAATTCCATCTCCTAAGCAGGCTACTTTGCATTCACTTCCTCTGGGGGAAAAAAAAAACCGCACGTCACATGGTCTTTCGCAAGGCTGCACTCTTACTAACAAAGCTCCATTTATACTAAATTTATAACAAATAAGCTCCATAACGAGCCGCATTATAGATTAAACCCCGAGCTCCATTTCCAGCCGAGCGTTGCCATCAGCGAGGGCTGTAGGGCGGTGCGCCGCGCTCGCTGCCGGGGCTGCGCGCTCGGGCCGCAGTTCCCGCCGGCCGCGGCAGGGGGCGCCAGGGCCCTCGGCCTCGCGCGGCCGCGGGAACACAGCGCGGCGGGAGCAGCGGGGAAAGGGCACGGGACTCACCTTTCTCCGGGAATTCCTGAGCATAGCTGCAGGGAAAAACAGAACAAGAAACATCATAAAGCAACGCACACTCGCAAACCCACGAGACTCACCTTTCTCCGGGAATTCCTGAGGATAGCTGCAGGAAAAAACAGAAGAAGAAACATCATAAAGCAACGCACACTCGCAAACCCACGGCACACGAGGACGTGGCACAGAACAGCAATCAGTTTTCAACAAGTTTTGTGGTCGAGACTCAGCGCTGCAAGTTTTCCTTGAAAATGCTAAAGTCTTTATCTTTGACTTTAAGTATTTATTCAGTTTTCCTTTTGCCTTTGCAGCTGACAGAATCCCCAGTCACTTCAAGGAAGACTTGAACAAAACCAAATCCAGACTGAGCAGCCTTTTCTAGTAACATTCATCTGCTCAGATATCATAAGGCATAAAAACATCTTAAGATTATAAAATACATCTGCTCAGATATCTTAAGGTATAAAAACACACAAAAGCATCTATAATTTTTTTAGTAAACCTTTAAAATGTTAACAAATTCCACAAATTTTTGTGCACAAGCAGAACCATTAAACATATTTTGAAATAAGCCAGTAGTTCAATAGGAAACTAAATTAAAAATCAAAAATAGTGGGCATAACTACAGTAAATTTACAGAAATCCAAATGAAAATGTATTAATAACTAACCAGAAAGATAAAAGTTAAAGCATGCCTAAATAAGATTTTCTTTTCAAATAAGGAGATCTCAATTTATATAATGCCTACAAAACAAAAAAATTCTCATCCCAGAGAGAAAACATCCTTTTATACACTGTTTCTTCAGAGCTAAATCTTAATATTTCAGAAACTAAAATAATCACATAATACAGTTTAATGATACAGACAAATTATCAGGACAGAGTTATGTAGAATGGCATTCAAGAAGCATTCATGGGTTACGAACTAACTGGCAAATAAAATGCAGCTGCCAAGATCATCTTTATGAACAATAAGCAGTAGTAAAGATATCAGTTTAGTCAATAAGGAGATGTTGGCAAGAAACGAGCAGAAGAGAAAGGAATGGTCTAGAGATAAGAAACTGAGAAATGCAAACAGAGATAAAAGGCCAGATCCAAGAAATCCAGTGTAGCAAGTGGCAGTAACACAGCCCAACATGTGGGATGTTAAAATCAAAGAAGATTACAATGTGCATGTATTTTGTAGCCTGCATGAAAAGCAAAACATTGTTAACAGTGAATAATATTACAGGAAATGAGGAAGGCATTAGAAATTAAAATAAGACGAGAAACCATGGGGTCACATAAATTAATAGTAACAGATTCAGTGTCAATATGCCCATAAATGCAGGTTCCCTCTCTTTGATATTTCCTCATCCAAAAAAGCATCAGTCAGTCAAGAAAAAAATCAGTAACACTGTATCTGCAAGTCATCTGTACAGTCACAGTTAACTCAATAACCCAGAATGGAAAACCCAGGAAAGAAAAAATAAATAGATAAAATACTACTTTCTTAAAAGAGAATATGAGGGAGAGCTAGTTCCCTAAGCATTTATAGCCTGAATTAAAAGAACACAAAACTTCAAATACAAGATTTTGGGACACATCTCATGTCTCCCTCCAGTGTAGCGCCCTCACCAGATGATTGTGCTGTCCTTGAAATTATAAACAAATTGCCACAGGGGCAGAAGCATGCCATCAATGGAATGCTTAGGAGATAACACACAGCTGTCTTACACCAGCTGAGTATGGTGATAGGAAGCTCATTCATATCCTCAATACATTTTATTTCTCATGTTTTAGTGAAAATTACAAAAGCAGAGGTGAAGGCAAGCTCTGCCCAACTTGCAATCAGGTTTCAGAATATTAAACAATTCAAATGGGACAAATCATTCTGATCCCATTTCTTACTAAATTGTAGCAGCTTTGAGAAGACAAGACTTGAACCCGTACAGATTTTTTGAAAAAATCAGCACCTAGACAGATTTTTTAATCTTTAATATGGTTAATGTTTAATAAAAGATTGCGTAAAACTTTAAGATATCAGTAAGTGACTTTCTAACATATTAAAGCCATGAAGTTCACTTACCTTGTCTTAATATCCTTTATCTTCTTAAGAAGAGCTTCACGCTTTTCTTTTGCTTTCTTGGATAGATTTTCTCCTTTTAGTGTTTGGGAAACAAATGTTTCAACATCTAAATAAAGAAGAAAATAAATACACCTCAAAAAAAGAAAAAATACTGCTGTAATGAGCTTGTCCTGATACTACTGTGAAAAAAATAAGAAAATTATTTTCAGCCCTACTCACAGCATAGTTAACAGACATTTTAGATTCTAAATGGGATACATTTGTTCTCGATCTACTTATGCTTAGCACAGCAAATCTTATGGTGACATTTGATTCTTGCTCACTTAATTATGCTACGTAAGTCCTAATAAATTGCAGTCCTATAACAATTACTTTCCATCACCTAAAGTAAAAGACAAAGCTAAAACATGGAAATAGCCTTTATGCATATATTACTGCCATGTTATTTCAGAAGTTCAAGTTGCAAAGATGGTTGTGTAATTTATTATTTCAGCAGTACACTTACCCAGATAGTAATATAGCTCACTTACTGGTTACAGTATTTTCAAGTTCCCACAATGCCTCTGAAATCACTGGTTGACTAAAGATTCATATCCAAAGCAATCCTGAAAACTATTAAGTAAGCAAATTAACCTTATCAAAGGAGTCCAGCTCAACAGTGTACTTTAAATTAAGCACACCTCCACTTGTAGAATCACAAACAAAGGCTCTAGCCTGCACTTTAAGTTTTAATTCTTACTCAGATGATACTTTTATACAGTCATGTAGAAACAAAACATTCCATAAAAGCTACCACTGTTCTTTTAATATAGTAAATATCCATTCAATAGGATAAAAAGAATGCAGTGTGTATAGAATTTGTGGGAGTGTAACACAGTAGTATGTTTTCCTTATTGACTAAACAATGGCAAAAAACAACATTAGAAGTCTCTTATAGATACCACTCAACATACAATTATCCCAAAAACAGAAAAGGAGAAACAACCAAAAAATCCTGCTTGTTAACATAAATGTCTCATCTGTATGGGTAACAACTGCTCAGTGGATAAGAGAAAGCATTTGCGGGTAACAAAACACCTTCTCACAGTGCCTGCCCACCTCCACAGACACACACAGAGACACATATATATATATACCTTGGCTCTCTCTGGATAGATGCAAATGCATATAGATAGCACTATTTTAATCCTATAACTTCTCCAATCAGATGAAACATTCCCTTTTAATACAGAAACATAAATAACAGCCAACTGTCTACGTGCAAAAGTTTACAGGAATATTTACCACAGATTTCCTAAATGAAAAATTTAATTGCCTGCTTTTTTCTTTATAAAACAGAAACATATCACCCTTTGTATTACAGGATGCAAGAAGACAAGTCAGAAGTTACCCTTCAAGAACACTAGCACAGCTATTACAAAAATATTCTTCTTTACAAATAATTCACTAGATTATTATTTAAATTTTTAGATTACTGTCCTCACCAAGTGCAGCAAAAGTATTCATGTTTTACAATATTTTAGAGTTCTGAAGAATAGCATTGATCCTCCTCTCTCCATGAGACAGAGAATCTTCCCATTACGTTTTCCAAAGCAATCCTGAATGGGGGAGACCTTCACTCAGTTCTGTGGCATTCCTTCTTCAAAAGGACAGAAGGAAAGGCACTTAACATGTATTAATGCATCCTCCAGACATACCCCCAACAGTCTTTATGCTGCAGACCAAGAATGCCAACAGGGATTTTTTCCAAACCCATAAAAAAGTACACATCTTCACAAATTACAAGGATTGGAATTGCCAAGGATTGGAATTGGCAGAGGAGAGCCCACAGAACCCAATGACATTGACAAACTACAAAACTAAGGTCAAAAAACTTATACTTTTACTATTCAGAGAAAAAAACAAAATAGTTAAAAACAAATCAACAGTTTTTCTCTCAATGAAACCTAACAGGGTTTCCCAACACAAAACTAGCTTTCACTTGAAGAGGGATGGCCTGATTAAATATTTATTTTTCCATACTTTTATATCTATTTATTTTAAAAATTAGATAGCAGCTTCCAAGTGCTACCTAGGCACCAACATACAAAATCTCAGAGGAATTAGTCATGTTTATAAATCAGGAGCAATACTTGCATGGTAATCTTTGGACACTAATCAATCACAAAACTTGGATTCAGAAGTCTTCACTTAAACTCAGTGGGCTTCTTTACTTCTTGGAAAGGTTCAAGCCAGGTGAGAATTCTGCCATCTCAGATTGACTGTCAAAGCTTTATTCAAATACAAACATTGAAATAACACAATTAAGGAGTATGTGGGGAAGACAAACCAAGTTGATTATAAAAAAAAATTACTACTTCTGGCTTAAAATATACTGCGGATACAAAAATTTCAGGACTAACTATATTGCTGACAGATTTTGTAGCTTTCCAGAAAACCTTGGACTTGGAAAGCAGAAATAATAGAGAATTTTCAACCATGGGAGGACAGGGCAGAAGCAGACGCTCCATTTACTCTCAGTATAGGTAGAGTTGGAGGAGAGAGGCAGAAACAGAGCACGCATATACAAGTTTGTCATTTCTAAACAGCATCAGTTGCAGAAGACATCCCTGGGATGGCTTCCCTCTCACATGAGCATGTGAAACAAGTTCTCCAAGCTGAGGTGTACCCACAGTCAGGGTGCACTGTTTTCATCATGGAACACTATTACTTCCATATGTCCAGAGATACCATATGGCTTGATTCATCACAACCCCAAAATACAAAGACAGATATGACAAACACACGATGCTAAAGAAGCAGTTTACCTGAAAATTACATTTTACTGTATCATATATATTTCTTATCTACTCAGAGTTATACAGTATGTTATATATCTTGTTTTAATTTACTGTTGTAAATCCATCCAGGATGTACCAGATGCAGAAGATGAGTAACATCCTAAGCTTCTCTGGACAAGAAGCCAGCAAGTCATCTAAGTTATGATCATCTCTTCACTTCCTGTATTTCCACACTATGGAGGAATATGGACTGCCTTAACATAAGGAAATGTTCCTGTAGTTTCTCTGACCTTCCACAAAGTGATTTATGTACGAATTAGAACAGAACTAGGGACTTCAGTGCAGCAGATCCTAGTTTAATACAGTAAACTTGAAAGAGAAGTAGCAAAATGTGCCCATTTCTCACCACTGTTCTAGTCACATACTTCCTCTCCCCTCTCCAGGATGATCCACAACTTGGTCTCTCCTGTACTAGTTTAATGCTACACAGAAAACAAAACTACTCCTCACAAGTACTTCAGTGCAGACTTGATTCATGCTTCAGCAGCAGCTGATCCATCAAGAAATTTTAAAAGGAATAAAAGATAAGTTCCAGAAAGAAAACCTCTTTGAACAGATTTCTGGTCTAATAGCACTTTAACTAATCAGTTACCCCAGAGCAAAAAAAAAAAAAACCAAGTGACATATTCCCATAAATTTTTCCCAACGAATTGACCAGATATTTAGTATCACACATAGCAGACATTTACATGTTCCCAATGAAAATATGAAAATAAAAAAATAAATTTAAAAACACTAAAACGAATAAACAAAAACAAAGCAAAGAAAAATACACACTGGAAACCTACTTAACACCTCTTTTCTTAAGCTTGTGTGTTAGACTGTTTGATAGCTTAAATGCCCATACTTGTTGCTCTGTTTCTTAAAGCTTGTAATGTTAAATTTGCTTGCACCATACCCCAGAGGAATTATTTGCCTGCAGGAAATGAACAAAAGCTACCAAACCAAAGGATACAATTGATACAAATCACTCACAAATTGCTCTGCCAATACAGGTTACAAACTGACCGGAAAGGAAAGTCACACCTCAGCCTAGCTCTGTCCACTTACACGAGCTCATACAGTTCAAAACTTGAGTGCCAGTTCACAGAACAGTCAAAAGCTAAAAGCCATTGTCATTTCATTTTCATCTACAGTCCTTTTACAAGGAGAAAAGCTAAGATTTCTTTTGCATTTCATTGTTAAAACAGTTTATGGTTGTCTTTACTTCAATGATTATAAACAGACAATACTGCAAGATTTTAATTTTTTAAAGACTTTGGAGCTATTTCCTTTAATGAAGGCTGGAACCACACAGATGGAATTTTTCAAGAACATTGTAAATTTCTAGCCCAAAGCAAGTGCTGTGTTAAAGAGTGCTAAGCATAACAAATCACAGCACATTTGTTGTTTACAGGATTTAATATTGTAAATATAAGTCACACTTAATAAACAAAGATACTTAGGACAGAACTACTTCAATTTCTAGTCAGGGTGGGCCAAGCAGATTCCCACAGAGGCACCCAAAGACTATGTGCTGGGTCATTCTTCATCCCCTCCTCCAGCAGATAACCAAGATGTTATCCAACCACATTATCAAGAAGTTAATCACTCCATCACGGACACATCAACTGATGAGTTGACACCATTCCAATGACGGAATCAGAAAGTGGCAATGAGACAGGAGCATCTCCACGCACATGGCAGGGCCCACAGCCCGAGGAGAAAGCAGGCTGGTTGGGAGGCTGGACACACATCCATCCTATGGCCAGGGACACTCCAGGGGATAACCTGGCAGCTGTACTGCCACTGCCATGTGGAGGCACCAGCAGCTCAGCAGAGCAATTCCTGCAGCCACCAGCCTTGTCTCTGCTCTGCCTCAAGGACCCAGAGAGCCAGCCGCCAGCTGCCAGCCAGGGAATTTGGGACAGCAGGCCAGAGGATTTTGGGACATAGCTGCAAGCTAGGCACATTTATTACACACATACTGTCCAAAGGTGACCAATATTAAACAGACTGCCATGTATCTTTCAGCTTTACACAGGGCTGGCATCAGAAAGCAATTAATTAATTTGATTTCAGTTGTCATGCGAATCATTAATAGGGAAAAAGCCTGAAGACAAACTGCCAAGCAATAGCTGTCACTGCCTGTTCTATTAAATAAAGAAATATTGGAGGACTTTGCTTTTGCTCTCCCCCAAATTCACAACTATGTTTTAAAGTCCCTCTCCAGAGTTTGCTAAATTGCCTTTTAAATATATATACGCTTAATCAGAAACAGAACACA